CTCGAAGCTAACTCTGGGCCAGTCACACTCTCTCTCAGCCCCACTAACACAGAGTTCTATGGGAAAAAATAGAGGGAAAGCCATTAATGTTGTTTTAAGCACCTGAAAGAAATGTGAGATATAAACCTAAAGAATAAATATGCATAAGTATGTATGTTGAGCCAGAAAATGTCCTTGGCATCCCTCCCTCTATTTTCTCCAACTACTGCCACTAACAAATTATGTAAACTTTAAAATCAGAAGTTGGGTTAGTCAGGATGTGTATATCCTATGAATACACCTTCCTGCTTTATTATATTAAATAGAAATAAATTTACCACTATGACAACTGGGAATGGAAGCATTTTGTTCAGAAATAGTAAAGGTCTGCCTGACAGAAGTAACTGAAAAGAAGAGAAGGGGCGTTGTCTTACCTGAACGTCTTTTCTCAGCACAGAGATGGAGAATCCACCAATGGGTTTAGACTGTGTTCCTGCCCAATCAGATCAAGTCAGCCAAACCTGCTACGCCTGTCCTGGACAAGGGTGTCCCAGTCTCGACGCGGGCGAAGCCATTGACTGACAGCATGACATGTTGGCTCACAGAACCTAATCCTAGGCCTAAAGAACCTGCGAGGGAGGGAGTGGATTCTCCATCTCCGTGCTGAGAAAAGGCGTTCAGGTAAGAAACGCCTCTTCTTCAGCACAGGAGATGGAGAATCCACCAATGGGACATACCAAAGCCTACTGTCACTGTGGGAGGGGAGCAGGCCAGTCCGATGTGACGCCTCGAGGTACAACCTGTTGGAGAACTCTCCTGCCAAAGGAGGCCTCCACAGAGGCGAACCTGTCCAGTTTATAGTGTCGTATGAAGGGCGAGGGTGAAGTGGCCCATGCCGCAGAGGTAGCTGCACTGCGCGTTGAGTGGGCCATGACCCAACGTGGAACCGTCAAGGAATCGGACTGGTACGCCCCCGCAATGCACGCCCTGATCCACCTACCAATCGTGGAGGCAGACACCTTCTGACCCCTGGAAGAAGGGTGGAAGGAAACGAAGAGGGCCTCAGAGTTGTGGAAGGCAGCCATCCATTTAATGTAACAACGGAGCGCCCTACGAACGTCCAGAAGGTGCCATTGCTGTTCCAGATCATGAGATGGATTAGGGCAAAAATCCGGAAGCACGATTTCCTGAGCCCTGTGGAATAGGGAGTTGACCTTAGGGAGAAAGGTAGGGTCTAAATGAAGGACCACTCGGTCCCGGTGAAAGATGCATAAGTCATCCCTGGTGGAAAGCGCCGCTAACTCAGATATCCGTCGTGCGGAACTGATTGCCACCAGGAAGGCGACCTTGAGAGATAAGGATCGAAGATCGCACGTCCTGAGAGGCTCAAAGGGCGGCCTGGTGAGTGCCTGAAGAACCAACGGCAGTTCCCAAGAGAGATACCTATGCACCACAGGGGGCTTCGTGTTTGTGGCACCCTTGATGAACGAGCGAATCAATGGGTGTTGAGCTAGGGATGTCACGGTGTCACAACTAAGTAGGGTGGAGAGAGCTGCGACTTGCGACCGCATTGAGAAAGAGGGGCGGACAAGGTACATGGTGCTGTGTTGTTACTGGTTCGATGAAAACAGGGTCCACCTCTGAATCAGGTGCGGTTGTTGTTGCTGGCGTAGAGCGATCGGGACCGATGTGAGCTGTGGAGCTGGCCTTACGAAGCAGGGGTAGAAAGAGAGAAGGGTTAAAAAGGCCATCGAATGACGGTGGTTCCGGGGGAGGATCGTCCTCATCTAACTCCTGATCATACTCCTGAGGGGATGAGGCCCTGCTATATGAGGACTGGGACGGGGAAGAAGGTGTGTGATATCCCGCTGTTGCCGATTGGGGGATCAGGAGAGAAATAACTGACTCAGCCCAGGGCATCTGTGACCTGGCTTCAAGAGCCCAATCTACCGCCTGAGCAATTAGTGCTTGAAGGCGGTCCTCAGGGGGAAAAGTGACAGGCTCGGCTGTCCTGAGTCCAGCAGCCATGGGGGTGAAGGTAGATTCTGGAACCGGGCGCTGGGCCCGTGGAGCAGGCGAAGGTTGAGAGATGGAGATATCGTGATCTGGTCCAGGTGGAACGGGAGAGGTGAGGAGTTCTCCCGGTGACCAGACCTCTTGGGTAGAGGTGGAAGGGCCCATAGGTAAATCAAAAAGAGGGGCCTCGGCTTGTTCAGCCTCAACCCTGGCCTGTTTTTGTGCTTTGGAGAATTCTTTCTCCAAAGCCTGGTGTTTCCTGCTGGCATGCTTCTCCGCCATTTTGGAGGTCTTCCCCACAGATATGGCCTTGGCTGAGATCCTACCTGCGGCCTCCTGGTTGGAGGATTTGTGCCGTTTCCGGCCCAAGGAAGGAGGTAAGGCGTCCTTGTTCAGGGAACCTGTGTTGTCCTCCATCCTGGTGGGAACAAACACGGGTACATGAGAGGGTACCCCTGGTTTTTTTGATGAGGTGTAGGTGGGAAGGATATAATAAAGAGCAGGGGATGATACTGATCGCCCTGCCCCCCTGGTCACCAGACTGGTACTACTTCAGTGACCGGTCGCATCTACGGCCGCGGCAAAGTCACCAAGGGGACGACAGCCAGCCTGCTCGTAGAGTTGTGCGGGGTTGCCAGGCCAGCTAGGTGAAGAGTGGCAACGCAGCTTACACGGCGGGCGGATCTGTGGGACAGCGAAGTCCCCTGCGTGCTGGCCACAGTCCGGCACGGCCTGCTATGAGGTGACCAGGTAGGGAGACACCGGATCAGGGCCTAAATTTGAGCCCAACAGAGGAAGGTTGCACAAGGGGAATTCTTTCTTTTCTTTTCTTTTTTTTATTTCTATTATTAGGAAGAGAGGATATGTGAGGGGAGTGGTGCTGCGTCTTTAAGGGATCCCAAAGGCTTGATAGGAGAACCTCTTCTATGCGGGCTACAGAAGACTAACAGTACCTAAGCCTGCAGGCCAGAAAAAAACGGCCCTGAAGGCCTCCCAAAATGGCAACAGCGGTCCTAGGTAAGTCCCCTGTAGCGAAATCAAAAATGCCAGAATACGGTGGGAAAAACGGATCCTGCCCACCCCACTGAGTGAGGACCCGATCAAATAGGTGGCTAAGGAGAACAAAGGAGGGAGCCCCCTCCTCCGTTGTGTCCCTCGGCTGAAAGTTAGAGAGCCACGCTGTCCGCAAAATGGCGGCCGTGTCAAAAGGGACTGTTCCGGGGAGCAGTCCCAGGAAGCAACAAAGGAAAAGTTATAAAGGTAATCACCTGACAATTTTAACTACTGTAGCCTACTTTTCGACTGCTGTATGGCACATTATGTTGTCAAAATAAACTCCGTCTCTGCTCCAAGTAACTTGCCCTGTGTATTCTATGGAGGACCCAGCCTAGATTCAAACACAGAATTTTCTTGTAACTTCTTTTTCCTCTTCTTTTTCTTTAGTGAAATAGTATTGTACTTGTACAACATCTGCCTCCTTATAAGAAAATAATTTGTGCATTTGCTGGTCAGAAAATCTGGGACCTGATTAATTTTCCAAATTACACACAAGCTCCAAATGCTAGACCTCCTGGCTCAATGCATACATAATAAGACATAGACCTTTGTAGTCATGGGTACAGATATAACAACCATGGTCTCATTCATCTCTCACATAATCAAAATTAAGTGTTGGATGATGATAGTGCTACATGTTTGCAAACCTTGATTTTAAAATTGAAAATCAGGCTCAAGAATTTACATTTCCTCAACCCACCTTATCAGAGTGAAAGTGTCACTTTCTTGTGAGATGGGCATATGAGGTGGGTGGGTGGGTGGGTGGGTGGGTAGGTGGATGGATGGATGGGTGGATGGATGGACGGACAGACAGATAATGGAGAGAGAAAGACAGACAGACATTTCTTTCCCTCATTAAATGTAAACATGGTTAAAATCATGGTTACAAGTATCCCAAACAAAACACAGTTCCTTTAAATCATCTAATTTGAAGCAGTTCCAAACCATAGAAAGCAAAGTACCTGTTTAACATTAATCAGACTTAAACTTAGGGGATTTTATTACTATTATGGTTTATCACATAATCAGCTCGATGTTTAGATTGGATTTGGCATTTTTATCCACCTAACTAGTAGTTAGGCAAATATTCTTTGATGGTTTTATAGTACTGTCATAGGATATAAGCTGTTCCAAGTAAAGCTGTCTTTTGCAATTGACTCATGGGAATGTTGTCAATACCAATGGTGTTCAAATGGTGTTCAGTTATTTTGGGATTGCACCCAAGGCACCTTAATTGCTACTGGTGCTATCTTTGCTTTCTTTTGCCACAGTCGTTCTATTTCTATTTACAGGTCTTTCTATTTTGAAATTTTCTCCAGCTCCTTCTCTTCTATTCTGCTGTCTCCAAGTACTACAATGTCCATTATCCAGATTTTTGTTTTTCTATCAAAAATTGTTAAGTATGTGGCGTTGTATAGCAGATGTTTGTCTGTTTGAATTCTAAAGTCCCAGAGCACTTTAGCTTCTTCATTTTCTATTACTTTGTCTACTTTGTGGTCCCACCAGTGGTATTTCTTACAGATATTCCAATGTACCATTGTTATTCTTTGTCATGCCATTGTTTGTAATCAGTTGTACAATTTTCTTGTAGCAACTAACTAGGTTGTCCATTATATCTTCAGATTATTAATTGTAGGTACTCAACAGTTAGATTCACAGTCTAAGATTTGTGGAAACTTAATCATTTAAGTCCTAACCGAGGACTTATGTATTATTAAAGTAATGTCTATGAATATAGGCAGTTCCAAGCAAGGCTGGTTTTTGTAAAATGAGGATGTTCAGGTCTAAATAAATTTAATATTTCCAGTTATTGAGGAACTCCTTTAGATATCACTCCTAAGGCTCCAGTTATTGTTGGTATAATAATACATTTATTTTTTTCCATAAGCATTCAACTTTTATCTGCAAGTCCTAGTATTTTGTATTTTTTTTCCATTTTTTTTCTTCAATACTGTACTAGCATCACCTGGAATAGCAATATCAATGAACCAGACTTTCTTCTTTTCAGTAACTCTTATATCAGGCATGTTATGAACAAGATGTTTTAAGACTGTTTCAGTCTTAAAGTTCCATATCCACTTATTTTCCTAAACCTTCTCAACTTGATGGTTCCAATTGTTTTTACTATATTCAAATTCAAACCTCTGGCAAGTTTCCAATGAATAATTCTGATAACTCAGTCATGCTATGCTACTCGTAGTCAGTTTGTGAAATTGTACTGCAGCCACTACAATTATTTCTGGAAATTCTGTGTTGCTTTGTTCCCAAATGGTTCCAATTTTATACTATACATTGCATCACTATGGTTAATACCAGTAAAAAGGGAGAGTGGGTATAGAAGAGAATGCAACGTAATACACATTCTCAAAGCTCACTTGCAAAAAGCAAATTATGATTGGTAGAAAACAGCACAGGATCCTTATTCTAATCAAAGATAAAAAAAATTCCTTATCATTTGCTTACTTACCACAGTAGGCCCATTATTTAAATGCTCATTTATCTGTGCATTTTCAGAACAGCTTAAAGTGACTCTAGTGGCTTTTCCTAAAAAAATTAGGAAAGTCCGTTAGGTGACTTGCATATTCAAGAAATGGAAAGGAAAAATATAAATTGAATAAATACATACATACTACAATCTATCATTCAAACCCAATTAGAGCTATTCTACCTCTTCCTCTTAATATTGCTAAGAAAACAAAAGGAAGAAACATAGGCAAGGAAAGATAGGATATTTGTAGTAGAAATTTGGATCCCTGGTAACAAATTCATAAATGAGACAATGTTATTCTATGATAAAGCTTCATCTGAAAGAATCCAGATGAAATATCCAAACTGTTTTACAGCTCAGCCTCCAAAATAAATTTGACATTTCTTCCTATATAAACATGAAACATACAATATGAAGTATCTGACATATAAACTTGCAACTTTATTAACTAGCGTGCCCAGTTCACTTTAACAGTAGCCAATTCCAAATGTCTGATAAAACCTGAACAATTAAAGGTCTTCCTGAAGATTCCTATCAAAAACAAACTGTCAGCAATATAAACTTACAGATTAATTTTTTCTACAGATTATATTATGATTGATATTTTTAACCAAAACTTAATTTAAAAATTGACCAATTAATATTACTTTTGATGCATAGATCCTCAATTGGAAAGCTCATTCATTGCACTAGAGTAAGGCTGTTTTCTTTATAGAATAATCACAGGCAAAGCTAATAAAGAATTTGAAAACAAATCCTCATCTAATATTAATTAAATAAATATTTATAATTAGCTACCATATCTAGGTTTGCCTGAAGATAGCATGGTTTTTTTCTTGAGTCCCAGATTAGAAAATAATATAGTCATGTTTAAAATTCATGGTTTGATGTATGCAAGTCTGTGTTTAAGAGACAGAGTATACTGTGTGCTAAGGAGAGACCTCCCATGAAAATGTTTGACAACACAAAAGAAACTATAAATTACGTGACAACTGTATAAAAGTCATGATGAAACAAATAAAGAGCTGACCTCTAATACATCCGATTCATTGTGGCAATCAGAACTCTATAGTTCTGATGTCAGTGCTGCAAAAGCAATGGAGAGAACTGTAAATTATTCAGAGTCAACAGTATTGATTTTGAGTCGACATTTCAATCAGTTTGAACTAGAAATACTACACTGCTCATCCAGCAGCTCTTAAGTGAAGCTGCCTATACCTCTCTGGAGCCTCTTCCTTTACTTACAGTGCTTTTTAAATCCCCCCTTGTTTCTACAGTGCAGTATTTATTGTGGAATCTCCAGACCCAGGTACTTGACCTAAAGGTCACCAGTTCGTCCCCTGAGACATTCTAAGTTGACTTTGCTGGGGTTTGAAATTCACCCAAATGTTTTTAAAAAGGAGTTTGTGAACATGCTGAGTCTGGCATGCCCCCCCAGAGGGGAAAAAAAGTATCAAAGTACACCATAAGCTTGAATACACTTCTCATAAAGTTTACACAAATGGCTAACTATACTAATTTCTCAGAGTTTTGTGTTCACTTCTTTTTTCTTTTGAATTATTTGGGGAAAAAAGAGAGCACCCAATGTTAAATTAGATGGCTTCTAAAATGTAATGAATGATATCAATCTGCTAGATTTTGATTGGGTAAAAGCATCTGTTCAATCAAATGAAATAAACAGTGTAATCTTCTGGAACTGTCATGGAATTTAAAGTCATGTTCTATTCAGTATCCAAACTTATAGCAAGACCAAGTTTACCAATAAAGGAAAAGATTTGTAGCTCAGGGTTGAAATGAGGGGTCTTTACTGCTCTGAGCTTGATTAACAACATCAGTGCTAGTCCTGATGAGGCTACCTAATTTAGGTAATGAAACATCTACCAAGAAAACAACCAAGTTTAGAGAGCACCAAAGATCCCTCAAAACTGAGATATTTCAAATTAGAAGCATGGGGTCTAGATAAGTTCCTTATGATCACAGAAAAAAACCCTCTGACTGTGCCCATAAATAAGTGAAAAACATTTATTCATAACTTCATATTATTTTATGTAAAATTTGTGGTAATTGCTTATTGGGCATTTTGTAATTTTGTTGTTACAAAATTGTTATAATTTTGTAAACCATCTAAAGAAGACATTTGTATTTCAGAAATTAAACATATTTCAAATAGTAAAACGTATACCATTGTAATGTGAGACTGTGTGTGTGTTGCAACCAGAAGCTACAGGTGATAAGGAAGTGACATGGTAACAGGAGACCAAAGAAAAACATCAATCCCTTTTGGTATTTTGGGATGCAACAGAGCTATTTTTAATGTCAATTAGTGTATTAAACCTGGTGGATGTTTAATGTACAGTACATTATGAAATTACACATCGCAAATCAAAATTTGAGATTTTGGATGACTTGTGGCCAATGGACCACAAATTAACCATCTTTGTAAAATTAAGATTTTCAAAATATCCCATAACTGTCCTAATTTGCCAAAAGGTTACCAATGTTTAGCAACTATTCATTATGATACACAATACCTGTTCTGTTTGAACAAACATTCTCAAGAACATTTACATCTTGTACAGGCATAATGAAAATCTCTACAATTTGCACCTCAAGGTCTAACCCAAGGAATAAACCTATCTCTTTATTCAGGTATAAATCATGCTTTTCTTTCTTTTTCTAAATTATTTCTTACTAAAATATTAACCCTATTTGTTTTTTAAAATTTATACACAACCATCTCACAAAACAAGTGTAAATTCTCATAATCCATTCTTAAAATCTGATTAGTTTTAACCGCAGATGTTAAAACCTCTGTTACATTAAACTATGGTGAGACAAATAAAGCAAGAGAAAAAAGGTGTGAAAGAATAGTGAATGTAATAAAAACTAGTTATCATTTTGCAAATAGTAGTTTTCAGAAAATCAGTGTTATGTCTGAACCAGCTCAAAGATATACTGAATATATACACTTGAGTGCTCCACTCCTCCAAAAACAAACCATCAATTTGTTACACAGTACTCAGCCCTGAATACACTTTCTAACTCCATTATTAAGGTCCATGACAATTTTACAAAGAAATGTGAAAGGCAAAGCAGTTGAATGGTAATGAAGATCCTGAGAGGGGGGGAATGGAAATAAACAATTAGGAACTTCTGCATAGCCAAATCACTGATTCATCTGCACATCAAACTTTCTAAGGACCTTTATTGTTGTGGGTGTACTATCCACTAAATTACAAGTGTATTGTTAAGACATACAGGTAGTCCTCGACTTACAACCTGTCATTTAAAAACCATTCAGAATTACAATGGTTTCAGAAAGAATGCTTTACAGCCCATAAAGCACTTCCAGCTGTTGCAGATTGTCATACCCCCTGCAGTCTATAACCACATTTCAGGAGCTTGGCAACTGGCTCATATTTAGGACTGGTTGCAGCACCCTGTGGTCATATGAATGCAATTTGCAACTTTTTTGCTGGTTTCCGGTATTTTTTGCCAGTTTCGTGTAAAAAACACCATTCAGGAAAATGAATTTGGACTTAAAACACATGATTTGTTTTAATGACCACCGTAAAAATCAGGTTCAGTCACATGGGTGCCTCGGCTTTCAACCAAAATTCTTACACCAACTGCAGTCTTGACGACTATCTGTACAACCATTATACATTCAGTGTATAATACATTCATTCAGTGATTGGTCAAAATTACAATGGAGCCGAACAAAAGGATTTATGAACCGTACTTGAAGCTAGGGCTGCACTCTCAAAGTCACATCATAAATATCCAGGTACTTGGCAGCCCACCTGCACTTACAGGCTCTACAATTCCCCCCTTCCCACCTATCTCCCCCTCCCAATCTATGCTTTTTTAAATTGCCCTGCATAGCAGCATTTAGGAGCAGCAGTAGTGCCAAAATGGGGTTGAAGTAGGGACCCCAGGCCCAGCAATCCCAGCCAACTGCCTCCACCCTTAACCCTTAACTTTCAATCTAGTGCTGCAAGTGCCACCAAGAAATGCAGCCAGCCACACCAGTACCATTCCGCCAAGCCCCAATTGCCATTACCACCCTCTACTTCCCAGCACACCACTCTGCCGTGTGCTATTCACCTTCAACCATTTTCTTTCACTGACAGGTCCCAGTCAAGTCAAGCCTGGGGTGGTGGCAGATGGCTGAAACTGCTGTAGGTCAACTTCAATCCCAACCCCAGAAATGAGTGCCATACTGCTAGGCTGGGGTGGCTGAGGTTCCAGAGGTGGCTTTAATTTTGCACTGTACTACAGCAGTCCCAACTTACATGCAGCTTGTTCTAGGCCTCCCAGGGCCTCTGCCATCTCCCTGAAGCATCCTGTATTCCTTACCTGGTACTCCATCTGCTTAACGACCCCTAATTTCCACTTAACAACTCCAACCAGGAGTGTTAGGATTGCGGTCACTGAGCAAAGCAGTCACGTGACATCTTGCTTAATGACTGTTTTGCTTAGCAACTGAGATTTCAGTCCCAATTGTGTGATAAACAAACCTGTAAACAAATGGACATGGGACAAGCATAATCCCAGATTACTGTGACGTGCTGTGCCTAGAAAAAATACTTTGTTCATATCAGACTGAATTCAAATAATAGCACTCAGTAAGACCATATATACAGTAATATGTATCCCACACACAGGAGCTGTACAAAAAAACTTGGATAAGACATTAGCCTAACTAACAGCACACATGGATATCACTATGAAACACATAAATAAAAGAAATGGCATTTTTGATACCCATTCTTCATTTCAAATGAACTGTAATTTTCATATCATCTAATTTTCAAGCAAGTTCAGAAAAGACACAATTGCATGCCTGGGAGAGTTTATTAGAAAAAGGCCAACTTAGCCATGTGCCTTTTAAACCACTGCTTTTAGAAGACAATACAATATATAGCATAGACATCTGAAAGCCATTGTGGAATTTTAAAACATAGTCATCAGAGAAATCGGAAAAAATCTAAACTTGAAAAATACTTTTTGATTAGTAAATGGCTGGAAAAATGTTAGTGGAAATCTCAGGAAAACAAGACAAGTTCAAGTTATAAGTTTCTTTTGAAATAAAAAGATGATTTGTACAGAAAATCCAATGTAACTATTTTTAATCAAAGCATACATTCTAACTAAAATGCATTAATCATATAAATGGGTATATGCAATTTTTGTTTTTGTTTTATAATTGGAGGTTTTTTAATTCTTACTGGAATAGTGCAAAAACTGTTGCTGTTATACTTAATTTCAGATTGATAACGACACATATGAAACAAAAATAAGTATTTTCTTTCCATATCTTAAACTTGGCATCTATTTTATTTGACATGCTCCTGCTTTACTAAAAGAAATTCAACTAACATAGCTTTATTTCGGCCTTCCTGCATTATTGCAGGAGTAATTAAAAGCACAGGAACCCTGCAAGAAAAGAAATATAGCAATCATATTCCTCATAGCATTAAGACAAATACGTTGATGTATTTAAATCTGAAGTGGAATTTAATATTGTCATTTTTTTTAATAAGCGAGACAGGTAATCCTCGACTTACAATAGTTTATTTAGTGACCGTTCAAAGTTACAACAGCACTGAAAAAAGTGACTAATAACCGTTTTTCACACAACCACTGTAGCATCCCCATGGTCATGAGATCGAAATTTGGAATCTTGGAAACTGGTTCATATTTATGATGGTTGTAGTGTCTTGGGGTCACAGAATCACATTTTGCAACCTTCTGACAAGCAAAGTCAGTCATAAAGGACTCAAATGTCTATATACCAATGCACAGAGTATGAACAGCAAACATGGTGAACTAGAAATTCAGGTTAATGAGGGCAGATATGATATTGTTGCCATTACAGAAACGTGGTGGGATGAAACCCACAAATGGAACACACAGCTAGAGGGATTAAAATTATTTAAAAGAAACAGACCAAATAAAAGAGGAGGTGGAATTGTTCTATATATAAAAAATAACTACATCTCTACAGAAATAGAGCACAACAATGATGAAAACTGTCCTGAATGCATTTGGGTCAAAACAAAAGGGGGGGGGGGGGAATGGCA